TCTTTCTTTCTTTCTTTCTTTCTTTCTTTCTTTCTTTCTTTCTTTCTCTTTTTTTTTACAGCTATATTGTCTAACAGAACATTGGAAATGATCAGACCAAAGCTATCCAGTGAGATCTGTTGCTAAGGCTGAATTTTAACTTAAGTACCAATAGAAGAGTGTGTGTGTGTGTGTGTGTGTGTGTGAAATGCCACTCACGCATCATCACAAAATCTACAGAACCGTAAAGCTTACAAATTTGAAATTTGGTACGCATGTTCCTCTTGGCTTCTAGGTGCTCACTAAGAAAGGATTTTTTTGAAATGACCATCAGAGTATTAGTATTTCCTATATTATTATTATTATTATTAACACGCTCCGATGCTAAGGAGTTCTACGCCTCCTCCCCACCTGAAAAGAAATCTGTTCCAAATGCAAAACACAAGCAGAGGAGAGGAGTTTCAGTTTTAGTTTCACAGCAGCAACCAGCTTTAGTACAAAACAGTTGAGCTAAGCCATGTGCAGGCTCCTTGCTGTCTCCTTCTTGCTCACAAAGCAAATACTGTTTCGTTTTCCAATCAGCCCTCAATTCTCTCACACACTGACAGGACGCTAGCCAGATGAATACCGATGGATGCTGGTAAACAGAGGCAGATTATTTCCCCCCCTTATTATAAAACTAACTCCCGAGTATATAGTTTTGTAGCGAAGCATGGGTATCGAGCTAGTATATATGTATATAGCTTAGTGTTAAACTCTTTAGAGTCCTCGATGCTCTCTGAGCTTGGTTGCTTACTTGCAAACATTTCATTATCCAACTAGGTAACATCATCAGTGTTACCGAGAATCAGGTTTGCTCTCTATTTATTTACAATATCTTGTCCTCTCCGTGTTGGTGGGGGTGATCTTTCTCCTTGGTAGTTCCTTGATTAGGGTATTGTTTACTGCTTGATTTTTGTCTAGTGTTAATCCTGTGTTAATCCCCATTTATGTGAGTGTTGGCAAACTGGTGTGCTAGTTTTGTTGTTTCCTTCTTAGCTTTTTACTTGTCTCTTTTGTATAACATATAAATGTTGTTTATCTCTATGTGCTGTTTTGTCTGAATAGCAGAGTTGGAAGGGACCTTGGAAGACTTCTAGTCCAACCCCCTGCCCAAGCAGGAGCCCCTTGACATGGTCACTTTCCTCTAAAGTTCCCGCAGCTTCACCCCTTCCATCATTTCATCTCTCCTAGTAGCCATAGCAATAGCACTTACACTTACATACTGTTTCACAATGCTTTCCCTCGCCCTCTAAGCGATTTTCAAAGTCAGCCTATCGCCCCCAACAATCTGGGTCCTCCTTTGACCCACCTCAAAAGGATGGAAGGCTGAGGCAACCTTGAGCCTGGTGAGATTCGAACTGCCAAATGGCAGGCAGCCGGCAGTCAGCAGAAGCAGCCTGCAGTTCCGCACTCCAACCACTGTGCCACCACAGCTCATAAAGAATGATGAGTAAGAATTCCTCAGAGAACTGAGTGCCAATCTTCCAGGCCTTCCCTAGCTTTCTTGGATGTAACATGGTCCAGTTGAAACTATGGAGAAGTCTGTCCGTGTGTTATGAAATTAAGGAATTTTCACTGTGTCTTCTAATTGCTACTTGATATTCAGAGATGACCCAGAGACTAAACTTCTGCCTCTCTGTCCGCAGGGGTCTCCAACCTTGACAACTTTAAGCCTGGAGGACTTCAACTCCCAGAATCCCCCAGCCAGCTTTGCTGGCTGGGGAATTCTGGGAGTTGAAGTCCTCCAGACTTAAAGTTGCTAAGGTTGGAGACCCTTGAATAGTGCTTATAATAGTCTTCATACTATGTGTTCTAAATGATTCCTGGTGGGTTTTTTTCCTTGGGCTCCTCTGATTTACTCACCATGTTTTGGAGGGCTTTAGTTTGTGTGTTATAGGGATGAAGTGTGGTTATAATAATCTTGTTTCTGAGATGTTTCTGATGTATGGCAGTGTTATCCTTTTCACATCTCATGTTGGTTGCTCTACAGTGGTTGTAATTTTTTGATAATAGTATGGCTACTCATTTTGTGTGTCATCCTGAGAAAACATCCCCTGAATCCCAGGATATTTTCTGTCTTGTAATGGTCTTTTCCTGAGACAGTGAAACGTGAGCCATGGTGGCACAGTGGTTAAAATGCAATACTGCAAACTACTTCTGCTAACGGCCAACCAGATGGTTGGGGACAATAGGCTGACTCTGTAAATTACTTAGAGAGAGATGTAAAGCACTAGAGAGTGGTATATAAGTCTAAGTGCTATTGCTAATATATTGGAGGGGGTCAGTTGTAATTTGAATGGTGATCTGTTATTAAGCAAGGACTACCTGTATTAGCAGACAGTTTGTTATTTTGCTGTGCTCTCTTTTAAACTAAAAAAACTCTTTATGCCCTAAATTATAGCACTGGTTTTAGTTTTATTTAATTTCTTTGAATGTCACACCTCCTGTTAAGCATGCTGCATTTCTTTTCCTCGCTATTATATTTCTTTTGATGTTACATCGTACTGTTCCAATCCATGGTCGCAGCAATAACTTTATTTCTTATTCGATTGTTGGCCATATGCTGACTTTGTAAACCACTTAGAGAGGGCTGTAAAGCACTGTGAAGCGGTATACAAGTCAAGGGGCTATTGCTATTTTCCAACAAGATTCTAACCTTCTGCCGCTACTAGTTGTATAAAGGACCAGTCTCTCCCCTCTTCAAAAAAATAAGTATAGACTCTTGAAAACTTCAAAAGGAATCTTATTGAAGAGAGGTAAAAGCAAGTCAAAATTCAAAGCAGGATCTGAAGTCCTTCAGGGCATGCAACTAGGATAAAGGGAATTTGAAACCCCTCCCAACAGTCCGATGTGGATTCCACCAAGCCACAGGTGTGAAGATGTTATTTTACCAGCGTCTTTGAGAAAGCAGATAAGGAAAGGTTCCTAGAAGGTACCTTCCGGTGCTGCAATCCACATGGCCCCTTCTCCCCTTGCTTCTCCCCAGGTGAGAATTCTCCAGGCATCTGGGGCTCCAGGCAACAGTTATAAATCATGTAAAAGGTTATACAAAAGACAGGGTAAGAAATAGGATACTTAGGCTACATAGAGAGGAAAAGAATTAAATGTATCAAAGCCAAACCCACCCACCCTTTCTTCCTTTGGAAAATGGCAGATACACGGATCTGACCAGTTGGTTCTCTTGTCGTCAAGATGCTCAAGGGATTCACACAGACCTCCAAAATCATCCTTGGAAACCGATGGTACAAAAAGTGTCCTGGAGATTCCATGTTGTTGCCCAAAACCTTCCCAGGTGAAACAGGGACCTAATGTTTTTCCCCTTCTAATGCATTTGGGTGGAGGTGGGTTTTAAGAAGTGAAATGGGTGCCTTCAGCCTTGCCCAAAATCTATCACACCAGTTCAAACACTCCAACTCTTCTGCAAAAACAAACCCTATCCCTAACTGTTCTTGCAGTGCATTTCCAAATAAGCCAGGGATGAAACGTCCCTTAAGCCAAACAATCTTGCACACTTTTCTCGAAAGCAAAGACGGTCATTTCTCCATGTGATTCCTCCGTTGAGATCATCCCTGAGGCCAAATGGGATGGAGAACAGTCAGCCAAAAGAAAAACCCCAAAAGCCTCTAAATACTCAACGGCACAGCTTTGACAGCCTCTGGCTCAAAAGGAGTCATGTTTTCATGGAGAAATGAGTGTAGAATTGGGAAGGGAATTGCAGAGAATTGCCTCAGTTATCATCTGGCCTTGTTATCAAGATATCAGATGTTCCGATCAGCTCCTGGTAGATCAGCAAATGCTTGAATCCCCAGTGGGGGGGAAAAGCAGCTTTGGCAGCTTGGCTTTAAACCAACGAAATAGGAGAGGGCGGGGAGAAAAACCTGAACAGCTGGAAATGGGACAGCTGGATTTCCCATTAGGAGGCACAGAAGAGCTGTCATCCCTTTTCATCAGTGCTGTGAAGCCTTAGCTAGAAGACATAAACCATGCCAGCAGCACACCCTTGATGTGTAGGTCTGCAACGCTGCAATTCATAAACCTGGAGACTCCCGCATCTGGGGCATTGTCTAAAACCCTCAATATGTTTCTCGTAGCATTTTGAAACCTGAGCCATTCAAGATAGGAAACTTTAAACATTTCAGGGAGTCGAATGTCTTTTCATCAGCTCCAGTAGCTCAGGTTTTCTTTTTTTTATTCTCTTTTTCTTAGTACAGAGTGACCTCTTGTGGCATCTCTTAGGTTCCATCCAAATCCCAAGGTTTGCTACGCCGTTACTTCTGCAGCTGTCCATAAATTCACCATCATTATTTTTGAATTACTTTTTATGTACGTAATTGCCTTCTTCCTGGTGAGTTAAGCAAGGTGGCTTATAAAACGAAGCATCAGAAGTGCCAATAAAATCTTGAAAGTTGCAACAAGGGTGTGATAAATCTACATCAAATGAATTGGCCCACAGTGAGAAAGGGGCTCTTTTTTAAAAAAAAAAAATGTTAAAAGTACAGTTCTCTATACTTTTTAATTGTCCCCTTGAACTCAGTGGTCTTATTTATGAATAGAGATGCCAGGGATGAAAAAATGTCTTGAGCCAAACAGCGTGGCACACATTTCTCAAAAGCAAAGAGGGTCACTAAATGAACTGTTGTAAGTCGAGGACTACCTGTGTTGCAAAGCAGAGCTATGGCATCTAACATCATCGTGATTACAAGTCGGTCTATTGGCAGGGGTAGGCTGATACCGGTTCACCCCAGTTCGGGCAAACCCGTAGCTCATTTTATGGCCATTTTATGGCCAGTTCGGCGAACTGGCAAATCCCAACCGTGGATGGCCCCACCCCTCCCAGGAGCCCCCATGCAGCCTATTTTGCATCCCCGGTAAATACAGGACCCGCGTGGAAGCTCGGGGAAGGTGAAAAACGGGCCTTCCAGAGGCTCCAGAAAGTCAGAAATGGATCTGTTTTTGGCCTCTGGAGTCTGGGGAAGTCATTTTCGCCCTCCCGGAGGCTTGAGGAAAGCCTCTGGAGCCCAGGGAGGGCGAAAAATGGGCCTCCCGGAAGTTCCAGAAACTCAAAATCAGGCCCATTTCCAGCCTCCAGAGCCTGGGGAGGCCATTTTCATCCTCCTGGAGGCTCAAGGAAAGCCTCTGGAGCCCAGGGAGGGTGAAAAATGGGCCTCCCTGAAGTTCCAGAAGGCCAAAATCAGGCCCCTTTCTGGCCTCCAGAAGGCCTCCAGAGCCTGGGGAAGCTGTCTTCACCCCTCCCGGAGGCTCGAGGAAAACCTCCAGAGCCTGGGGAGGGCAAAAACGCCCCTCCCCCCCTCTCCATGGTGCAGGAGGCTGACTAGGCCACGCCCACCATGACCACGTCCACCCACCAACTGGGCAGAGAACCAGTTGCTCAATTTTTGAAGGCCACCTCTGTCTACTACCTTGTCTTGCACGCATCTAAAAAAGAAAAAAAATGGCGAAAGCTTTCTTTAGGTCTCTCTGCCTATAAAGAAATATAAAATTAAGCTGTGATGCTAGGGAGCAGACTGGAGCTAAAAAAACAAACAATAACAACCTTGTTTCCCCAAAAGTATTTGTTCTGCAGTTGGCCGCACCGGTTGTGAAAAGCTTCCACAGGGAAAAATTTTGCCCTGGGAATGAAAAGTGACTTTTTAATCATTGTAAAGATTAGCTATTCTAAGTAGGAGGGTACATTTCGACCCAGCTCTTTAGCCAAAACAGGATCCCAAAACAGCTTGTAATGCCTTTTTGGAAAGTCAAAGGTTTTTATGATTGCAGGTAGCTGAAAACAGCATGTAAGTCTAAATGCTATGAGTTTACTCTGGGCTAGCCAGTCCAGACTCACTTGATAGCTAGGGAAAGAATGGGTTGCTTTTCAGCGAAATTATTACTGGATGCCTCTCAGAAAGAGAACAAATACGGATTCATAGCAGGATCTTATCTCTCCCTGTGTCTATGTCTGTGTCTGTCTGTTTATATCTCTACTAACTCTATACCCGTACTTCGCTACGAAACTATGTAGTCAGGCTTAGTTTTGGGAGAGGAAAATAAGGGGGTGGGGGGAACCTGCGTCTGCCTACCAGCATCCATCAAGTATTTATCTGGCTAGTGCCCTGTCGGTGTGTGAACAGTTGAGGGCTGTTTGGAAACTGAAACAGTATTTGCCGTGTGAGCAAGGAGACAGCAAGGAGCCTGGGCATGGCTTAGCTCAACTGTTCTGTACTAAAGCTGGTTGCTGCTCTGAAACTGAAACTGAAACTCCTCTCCTCTGCTTGTGTTTTGCATTTGGAACAGATTTCTTTCCAGGTGGGGAGGGGGAGTAGAACTCCTTAGCATCAGAGCGTGTTAATAATAATAATATAGGAAATACTAATGCTCTGATGGTCATTTTGAAAAATCCTTTCTTAGTGAGCACCTAGAAGCCAAGAGGAACATACATACCAAATTTCAAGTTTGTAGGCTTTTACAGTTCTGGAAATTTTGTGATGATGCATGAATGGTATTTCGCTTTTATATATATATAGATTCATCTGTTGATGAACATAATAAAATGTTGATTTGATATGGGTACATCTCCCTCTTTCTATTCCTCTTCCTTCCCTTCTATTTTTCCTTCCTTCCTTCCTTCCTTCCTTCCTTCCTTCCTTCCTTCCTTCCTCTTTCTTTTTCAGTGCACTGCATTGTATATACCATTTATCTGTGCTTTTTTTATTTTCCTAGGTATGATTCCGATGGTCATTTAACCAATGCAACTTTCCCTACTGGGGAAGTTAGCAGTTTCCATAGCGATGTTGAAAAACTGATGAGAATAGAAATTGACGCTTCAAATAAGGAAAATGTGATTACAGCAACTAACTTTTCAGCTACCTCAACTATTTATACTTTAAAACAAGGTAGGAATCCTATAGTTGTTGTTTTTTTCCGTGTTTGATCTCATAGTTTTAACATTCTTCTGAATATATTTTTCAAAGCCCTGCACCAAAACAAGGTAGCTCATTATATTGGCTCCTACAGGTTACTCAAAAGATCTGATCAAGCAAGTTCAGAATAATAAGATGACAACTATAAGAAGCCTTGAGATCAGAAGTGTGTGTGTTTTTTTTTCCTTTAAACAATCAACATAATTATTCTCTCCAGTGCGAAAGACTGAACCAAGTTGTGTATCACTAAAACTGGCCTCTTTGGAAACTAACTGTGATGACACCACTTCTAAAACAGGAGACATTTCTATGCAGTCCATCAGCCTAGTATTTGTCCCCGATAAACAAAACAAGAGAAAGAATAATAAATTTATGAACAGTATTAGAACCTAGAGCAGTGATGGCTAACCTTTTCAGCTTGGTATGTCGAAAATCGGGAAAAAGTGTAGCCTTCCTCGGGTCGTGTGTCACTTCAAGAAATATCAATAATTTGGTTTATGACGGACTGGGCTGGGGTGATCACACGGGGCTGTGAAACTCGTCTCCCTGGTCTCAGGGCTGCAGGTGCAGGATGTGGGGATCGGAAGGCCACCTTACAGGGCTGTGAACCTCATGGATCTCCTTTCCTCCTGTAGCGTTCCTGAGGTAATGAAACTGACAAACCTCAGTTTATGGCGGTTAAAACTGGTTCTCTGCTGCAAAGTTCTTGCGGCAGCGGTGACACCACGCCTCCACGCAACAAGCAGGGAGCAGGGATTGGAGCAGAGCACAGGCAGCCTCTAAATGTGCAGGTTTTCCCCACACCAACAGGTGTGTCAGTCAAAGTGCCTCGACGTGTCACGAGTGACACGTGTGTCATAGGTTAGCCATCACTGACCTAGAGGAAGGTTGTAGGCAGGGGTGGGCTTCAAAAATTTTAGCAATGGGTTCTCTGCCCGGTTGCTGGGTGGGCGTGGCCATGGTGGGCGTGGCCTAGTTGGCATCCTGCACCATTGGGGGGGGCGTTTTTGCCCTCCCCGGGCTCCGGGGGCTTTCCTCGAGCCTCCGGGAGGGCAAAAACAGCCTCCCTGTGCTCCAGAGGCTCTCTGGAAGCCAGAAACGGGCCCATTTCCAGCCTTCCCAAACTTCCAAGAGGACGTTTTTCACCCTCCCCAACCCTCTACGCGCCTCCTACACTTACCTGCATCCAGAACTGGCCGTGTGGGGACTCCTGGGAGGGGAGGGGCACGGTGAGTAGGGCCAGCCAGGAGTGGGATTTGAGGGTTCTCCAAAACTGCACAGAATCATAGCTAGGGGCTCTCCCGAACCCCTGAGAATCCCCAGCAGCCCACCCAGGGGTGGGATTCGAATTTTTTAACAACCAGTTCTGTGGGTGTGGCTTAGGTGATGGGCGTGGCTTGGTGGTCAAGTGACCGGATGGACATGGCTTGGTAGTCATGTTATTGGTTGGGTGTGGCCAACTCAATATCACTCACATCGAGGCACGCATCTCCTCGCTTGGCCTCTCAAGACTGTGGGGATGATGCAACAGTCGTAAGTGTGAAAAATGGTCATAAGTCACTTTTTTCAGTGCTATTGTAACTTTGAATGGTCACTCCACACAAGCAAAGAACCAGCAAAGGAAGGAAAAACAACTCCAGAGAAGTTCCTGAGACAGGAAGTCTAGTCCTGCCAAGAATGTAATAAGGGTTAACGGAGAGGCAGTTTCTGTAAGCAACACCAGAATGTTTCCTTCCTGCCTTCCTTACAGGATTAGGCCAGTAATTTCTTCTAACAACCGGTTCTCCGAACTGCTTAAAATGTTAACAACCGGTTCTAGCGAATAGGTGCGAACTGGTAGAATCCCACCCCTGAGCCCACCCCCGGTTGTAGGGCAGCTCCACTATAATATCATTAAACTCCCTTTTTATGACCCTGTAATCCCTTAATTTGGGGTAGAGTCGGGGCAACTGGATGGAGCTGAGCATTTACTGGCTGGATGCCCTTCCTGACACCATGCGGACTTCGCAGGTTTTTTTTTTCTTTGCGCCCTAGGAGGGAAACATCTGCCGCTACCTAGGATTGAACATCACACCGCTCAGCTTTAACATAATATCATTGAATTCCACAAACTAACCTGATACCAAAACCAGAGACCACATTTTAACTTGGTTCAAGCCAGCCAATATGGGGTAATTCAACAAACCATGTTTAGATCATGCTTGGCTGAGCATTTTGAACCACCACTCCAATTGTGACTACTTTGGTGTTTGTTGATTCCTTTGCATTTTCTCTTATGAAATATAGAATTCTTTATTGGCCAAGTGTGATTGGACACCTAAGGAATTTGTCTTCAGTGCATAAGCTCTCGGTGTACATAAAAGCTATGAGTGATAAATCACGATCCTAAAGCTTTACCGATGTCAGACCCCACAAAGCTGCCAAGATCCAATAAAAGCGAAGATCACATAAACTTTGGCGAAATGTTCCCTAAACTAGGGAATTTCCATGCCTGCCTGCCTGTCTTGTTTTATTCATTTGCTTATTTATTATTTATTTATGGGATTTGTCGACTGCCACAGGACTCCGGGTGGTTACATAATTTACATGTAAAACCCGATGCAAGTCACTAGAATAATTAATTAGAACAGTCGTGTAATTAAATCTCAGTTTAAATGAAGGCTAAAAGTAGTAAGTTAAATGTCTTGAATATAGCAATGTTGGTTATAATTAATCCCCAAAGGCTTTCTGGATCAGCTATGTTTCCGCATCCTAGCCTTAGGGAGCAATTATTCTAAAGAAGTAAGAGCTGCTTAAGAGAATACCCACCAGTGGGGTTCCATACTTTCCGACTCGTAACTAGCTGGTACAATCTACTTCTTAGAGTAGGACGGAGAGAAACTATTGTGGAAAAGCAGCTCCTAAATTATCCGATCCTGACCCTTTTCCAATTAGTGTCCAACATCTTAAATTGCCCTCAGAAACCTACTTATAACCAGTACAGCTGTTACAGCAGAGAGTATCTTGACTGACCGCTAAGCATACCTCCAGATCCATTTTCTGGACCACCTGAAATGTTCTTCAAGCACATACAGCAAGTTACAATAATTTGTGCTAGAGATGATAGTAAGGAAGGCAACCTTGATGGAAACATGCAAGAACTGTTACCAAAACAGGAGGAGGAGGAGGAGGAGGAGGAGGAGGAGGAGGAGGAGGAGGAG